GATGGATGAAGGTGGAGGTGTTTGGCTCCTCTCTCCGGACTCAAAACCCAAAGCAGAGAGCTCATTGGATGCTCTTTCTCCTGGCAATGTCCCCATAAGACCCTGTGGTCCACCGCCCCACAAACCCCACTGGGATTTCTGCTCTCCACCAGCTCAGCCTCCCCAAGAGCCCCAGTGGCTCCCTCTGCCAGCCGCTGTGGGCTGCTGCTGGGGCCGAGCACAGCCTCAAATGGCAGCGGCTGCTCACGTAGGCAGGCATTTGCCATCTTGCTGAGACACGCTGGCAATTCAGGAGGGCTTTGGAGAGCCCCTGCTCCCCCTGGGAGCTGCCAGAGAGAGCTGGACTCTCAGCAGGTGATCACCGATCCCTGATGGCCCGGGCCAAGGTAACGGGAAGGATTTGTCCCTCCTCTCAGCTCTGCTCAGCACAGCAGGCTTTATATTTATCCCCCAGCAGGGGAATTTTTTGGTGATGGAAAATGTCGTCAACTATTCTTTTTGCCACGAGGGGAATAAAAGCCTGAAAAGAGTAACAACAAATATGAATTTGCCTTCAAAATCCTGGGCTCTGTTTTGGGTTGTTTTTTGTTGCTGCCTTTTTTTTCTTTCTTTTTTTTTTATTTTTTTAATAAAAACCTGCAAATGTTCCATCTGTTTTCATGTTTTCAACAAAATTTTGTGCAAGAGGCAAATAATGCTTGGATCATTGCTTTTGGCTTGATTGCTCCATCCTCCTGCTCCAGAACGTAGCGGTTTCTGGGCAGGGAGCTGGTGTGGCCTCTGCTAGCGAGTCCACTGCCTCCCACAAAAGGATGGGGAAGGCTCCATCCTAGAAGAGAACAAAAATGAGCAGCTCACAGCCAAAGGTTGCCCTGCAGGCTGCGTGCCATCACTGCCAGCTTTCAGAAAGAAGATCCAGGAGGGGATGGCGACCTGCTCTGAGCTTCCTCTCCGCAGAGGGAAGACATCCAGCTCCCCACCCACTGCTCTGCTTTTGCACACATGTTTACAATGATCCCAGCAGCTTTTTTTTTCTTTCTTTTTCTTTTTCTTTTTTTTTTTCACTGGCAGCTGTTTCAGAGATTGACAAGAGCTTTACAAAATTGGGAGGGAAGTGAGGCTCTGTGTCTTGATGAAAGCTTTATTTAGAAATCAATGAATCCCACAGCTCCATCACACAAACTCCAACCTTCCTATCCTTTTCAGCCCTGTCTGCCTGGGCTGCAAGTCATCAGCACCTGTCAGCAAGAGAGGTGCCTAAGAAAAACCAAGCACCACACAGTCTCACACCCCGAGGAACCTTAAATCCCAATTCCTTCAATGCTATCTAGAGAAGACTCTTTGTCTGGAGAAGCTTTGTGTTGGGTCTGTGCTGGGAATGGCCCTACACACACGTGGAAGGGAGAAATCTGCGATGGAAAAGAACCAAAGTCAGAGGTAGTCAATGCTGCCTGGTCCAAGAGCTGTCAGAGCCAGCAGGAGCCTTCCCGTTGACACCATCAGCCTTCAGATGAGTCCAAGATTTGGAGACATGCCCTGGATCACAGCCTTTATAGGGTTGAGGGGATTGGGTCTCTTTCATTGCCAAGCCCAGAAACAAACTGCAAAGCAGAAAGAGCGTTAAGAAACATTTCCCCAAAGCGAGGAAGTGGGGACTGACTCCAGAGCTCTGGTTCAGACCCTTGTCTGCATACACGGTGTGTCATTAAGGGAGAAAAGCTGGCAGCAAGCTTCAGCCGCTTACTACGGCACTGGCAGGAGAGACAAATGCAGAGCGTAAGATAAATGAGGCACTTCCAAGTGCGAGAAAGTCAATACTATAGAGACCTTCAAACTGGAGCCTGGGGAACGGCTCACAGTTCAGCTCACTGGTGCAGATGGACAGACATCTCTGTGTGCTGCAAACTGGGGGCTGCTGTGTCCCAGCGGGGTGACGGGATGGGCAGCCACACCGGGCTGGGCTTGGACACCAGTCCCTGCAGAAGCCCACCAGGAGGGTTTGCTCCTGTATTATGGGAGCTCCTGCAGGAAATCAGAGCCTTGCTGAACATCAGGGTGTATCTGTAAAGAGACTCAGTCCGGGTGCAGGACATCCTCCGGTGTGACCAAAAGAGCAAGAGGGAATAGAAAAAGGACCGGCCCCAAATCTCAACAAAAAGCCAGGCTGTTTTTCAAGGTGTAAGGAGTCACCCAGGAATGCTGGGCACCCAAAGCTTCTGTGTCATTGCCCCTTCTCTGCTGTCACACACGCCTTCTGTGAGACCCCACGAGAGCCACCAGCCCCATGGGCACCAGCTCAGTGCTGCAGCATGGGGCTGAGCGTGGCTCTGAGCGCACACACGTGCCCCGTCCGACAGCTGAATGAAATGCAAACTGATCCACCCGAGGAAAGAAAGGAGACGCTGCCCTGCTTTTTTCAATTATATCCAGGTCCAAGGTCGGCGACCTCTTCCCTCCTGCACTGCAGTATCTTGTCACACAAAACCCAGAGAGAAAGGGAATGTGATAAAGATGAAAGTGATGTGGCAGTCTCGTATGTGAAAACAATCACCCTTCAATTAAGTGTGATTGATTTCCCAAATCAGAGATGCATTCAGTTTCCAACAGATAGATATCAGGGAAAGCCAGATGCTGGGGAATTCAGCGCACGTGCTTGGGCTGGGACAGCGCAAGGAAACAAAATGGAGATGCTGTAAAGTGCCAGGTGCTTTGAGACGAGGCAGAGAGGGGCACAAGAGCCGAGCCAGGAAAATTTCGCCCCTTAAAGCAAGGGCAGGGTCAGTAGAATAAGAAAGAAGCAGAGGTATTTTTCCATGCACTGAAATGACTGCTTTGTAAAAGATTTTTTGTATGACAGCAGCAGCCAGGGACAGCCCCAAAAAGAGAGGGGATTGTGCAGATGTGTAGAAGAGACCCACAGCCTTAAAGCATTTTCTGTCCAGGGCTGACAAGGGGCTGCAAGGCAGCATAGTGACATCTCACGGGGTTGCTCTGCAGCCTTTGACAAATGACTGGGAGGCCCAGAAACTCCATTTGGTTCCCCGGCGTGTCCTCCATTTGGTTCCTCTCGGCTGTGTCCCCTTTCACATTCAGATGCACACGGGGCCCTTCCAGCTGCTTTATGGACCCCTGGTGCCTCGTAACCCAAACCTGCCACCCACTGCAAAGCACCCCGGGGCGAAGCACCCTGGGGTGTTTAGCAGCAGGCATGCAGTGGCCTGGAGGAGGACAGCAGAGGAGCCACTGTGTGCTTGCCTGAAGTGGAGGGAGCTCTGGTGTGGATGTCTGCAGCAAGCCCCGCTCTTCAGAGCCCACACTCGTCAGGGCTGGGCTAAGAATACGCCGTGCTTTTGGGGGAGGCTGGGATCTCCCACCCCGGCTGCCAAAATTGTTCTGGTTATCAGCTATCAGCAGCACTTTTTGAACCAGGAAAGGGGAGCTCCCTTGGCTCTGATGTGAGTGCCCATCATTGTGGCATCTGGTCCCAGCCTCGCATATCCCTCCTGCATTTGTCAGCAATGGCTAAGGACAACGCTGGTGGCACCAGGGAGGTGTTTGGGCAGGGAAAAGGGAAGGCAGCCCCGCAGTTTGTGGCAGGAGAGCATCTCCTGTAGGTTAGCCTGTGCTGCTGTGCCGTTTTCCCTACCCCTCTCAGCCTCATCCATCCCCCCTTTCTCTCCCCCTCATCCCTTCCAGGCTCCGAGAAGGAAGGCTTTCAAATAAAAGGTCTGCACTTGACCCCCTCCTCCCTGCGGGGAGAGGGGCCGGCCGTGAATAGCGAGCCCCTCATGTTTGCAGAAGCGATTTTCCCACTAATGGCAGCATATGTTCGCCTTGGTTCCCACCTGCAGGGCTGCGCGCGGGCGCGTGCGTGTGTGCCATGCGCGGCCGGCGGCTCCGCGTGTGGGGGCACCAGGTGCTCGCTGTCAGCCCCAACAAAAAGAAGTGTCAGCCCTCAGCGCCGGGGGGCTGCGCTGGCAGCTCCCCCCCCCCCTGCCTCCAGCCCCACGCTCTGAGCATCCTGCCGCTGATTCACATCAGCATCCTCTTGCGTCAGCTCCTGAGCTCTCCTCCCCTTTCTCCTTTCCCCCAAATCGCGCCCTGACTCCAGGCTGTCTGCTGTCACCTGCTCCCTAGAGGCTCAGATGGTCCCTGTGGATGGATGGAGTGAGGGAAGGAGGTTGTGCGACCTCATTGTGCTGGAGCATCCTCTGGAGGCTGCTCTGACCTCCTGCCAGAGCCCATGTAAAGTCATGCCGTACCCAAAATCAGCAGCTTGCTGAATTTTCAGCTCCAGCTCACGGCTGGCTGCAGCCTGCTGCCTCTTTTTGTGCCTCCTCCCCATGCTGAGATGCCGGAGGGCTGGCACCCAAACGTGTTCTCCAGGCTGACCTGGCATCCTCACGCTCACCAGGGGAGGAGAACCTCCATGTCCCAGCACCCAGCACTCAACCTGCTGCCTGCACAGCACCAGGCTTCCTCCATCCAGTGCCAGCAAACCCGGCTCTGCCCTCCCTGGTGCAGTGCAGAAGCAGGAGTTACAGCTTGAGCATGGCCCCAAAAGCATGCTGCACAGCTCGGTGCCCTCCCAGGGTGCGCTGAACCCAGATATTTCCCCATGCTGATGAAGCCCAGCCTTGCAAAGTTGGGGGCCCGACCCTGCCGCCTGCTTCGCTCACGCCCAGGGAATTTACCAGTTCATGGACGTGCCCAAACTTTTGTCAGCAAAACTTTCCGGAGGAGACCAGGCCTTAATCTTTTTTTCTGCTCCATTTCTCCCGCCTCTGAAACGGGAGTCACTGTGTTTCTTTCTGCTGCGCTGTGCATCCATCTTGTCTGCTTAGATCCTGACCCGCCTGGTGCCCTGGAGATACGCAGCGGCTCCAGCAGCAGGCCCTGCGCTTCCCGGGGGCCTGCAGGCGCTGCTGCAATCACAGCACACTCACCAAGAATAAGAATCAGGCATCATCCGATGCAGACTACGAGGGCTCTCGGGGGCACAGCTGGGAAGAACGAGCCTGCGGGTGCTGCTGTAGCTCTGGGCACAGGTGTCTTTTCTCCTCCTACGTGAGCTCGGGGCTGAAAAGGGAGACTATATGCCCACCAGCTCCCCTGGGAAGCTCAGCTACTGGAGGGTCCCAGCCTGAGAGCAGCAGAAATGAGGCATCCTCCTGGTGTCGGTGAATAGAGGGAGTCCAAGTGCGTAATAACGCTGCTTCAAATAAAACAGAGGTGAGGAGAAACACTCATGGCAATGTCACCAAAGCCAGATACCCATCCTTGGGAGGGATGCACTCCAAGCAATCACTTATATGTTAGCAAGACCCAGTACCCACCCCTGGAGGGGAGAACTCCTTCAGTAGCTTGCTGACTGCCACAGCTGCAAGGAGGAACCCAACAGTGAAGGTGTAACACTAGGGAGAGACCTCCTGTGTGAAAATGCCAGCAAGAAAAAAACAAAACAAAAAAAAAAAAAAAAAACAACTCTGCTTGGCCAGCTGAGGCGTGATTTGGGATGTGTCACATTTTAAAGTGAAGACTGCTGCTTTGCCTGGGAATTTCAAGCTGGCACGATTGGTACTGTTGCTTTGGTTCTCCTGATCAGAATATTAAGAAACCTGCACCAATGAAAATATTTTCCATGAAGTAGTCTTGATGCTGGAATAACATTTGTTGGAGATGTTGGATATTGAAGGAAAAACGTATTTTCCTCTGTAAGAAATTCATACACACAATTAGTCAACTCATTCTGTTTAGGTACACCCGAACTCTAATCTTAATTTATCGTTTTTGTCATTTTGGCTATTAACACATTTGTTTTCCCCTGAAAGCAGAACTTCCATGTAACCACAGAACCCAGGAGCCGGGGCTTTAACGCAAGCACCACGTATCCCAGAGGTGCCAGTGCTACATGACTCTTCTATAGACCAGAAGACGGGGAAGAATTCGGTGGATGCAATAGCCTGGTGCCTTATTTTTAGCACGAGGCTGTGGAGCAGCAGTGGTTTGAGCTCTGGTTGCCATTTCCCTTTCTGTGTTAGCACCCAGCAAAATAAAAACATGTGGGATAGACTGAGGTGCTGTCACCCCATGCTCTTGAGGACTTCACTAGCACCCAGCCAGCAGATGAAGGACAGACTCCTTCCAAACCCGGCATGGAAATCACAAAAGTGACCCCACAGCATGGAGAGTTTTTTGCTGGTTTTGTGGGTCCACAATGATAGGGGAAGAAGCTAAAGACAGAGGGCTTTTTATTTTTCCCACCACCTGCAGCAAGATTCAAAAACCCATCTCCGAACACCAAAAACTCCACAATCCCAAAAACATTTAGGACATTCCCTTGCCAAGCACCTTCCCCTCAGCATCCCTGCACCATGCTGACGTGGATCACGCGCTCCCAGTGCAGCCCTCCTGCCATGGCAGGGCTGCGGGGATGGAGGTTGATGGGAGGGCTTAATTAATCAGTTAATTAATCCCAAACATTTTAACCCTCCAAATCCCTGCTGCGCTGTAGTTCAGCAATTTGTTCATTAGCAGAAGTTTCTGTTTGCGTTTGAACTTGGATCATTTGGTTTTTCCCCCAAGACAGGAATGAAATATTGATGGTGTCATTAGGAGTGTGCGAATGCGTGTGCGCACGTGTGCGTGGGGGACTTTGTGTGTGCACCCACGTACTGCTGGCCCCTGTGGTAGGAGGAAGCTGTGCTCAGGGCTTCCCTGTACCTCTCCTGGCTGGGCTGGAGGTCTGCCTGCCTTACCCAAACTGCTGCTTGCACTGTGCTAGAGCCTCTGTTCCCTGAATTTGGCTTCTTTCCCCTCCCTGGGCAAGGGAGAGGATGTAGGGCTCCAGATCCCAAACATCACAGCAGTGCTCTGCGCAACCCCATGCTCTGTTTTCTTACAGTGCATCTTTGTGCCACTTGGCTACAGTAATCAGGCCCCACCTAATTGCCATTCAATAAACTCCAGTTAAATTAACAGCTCCACCCGATGAGCACCAACATCTGCTGTTCACCAGGCAGCCTTCCCTCCCCTCCTCCTCCCTGCGTCTCCTCAAATCCCAAAATTCAGCCCCGTGGGTCCCCAGCAAAGGGGCTGCGAAGGCTGGTCCAAAAGCTTTGGCACAGCCAGGAGCTTTTGTGGAGCGCATGGAGGGGTTTGCGTGGGCAGGTTGTGTGTGGGCAGGGTGTGGAAGCACGGAGAGGATACAAGAAAGAAAATGTGCCTCCCGTTGTGCCCGTGGGGTGTGCTCACGGGAGTGTGGCTGTCATGCAGATGTCCATCGGATTTTGGCACGGCCATCTGACCCCTGTGTTGCCACAGAGTACATTTGTCATGGGCGTGAGCTCCAGGTGACTCAAACAACCCAAACCTCAACTCAAACCTTTGCTTTTTGCAGTGTTTTGCCAGCGTAAGAGCAAGTGGGAGCACGTGCTTAGCTGCAGCGATGGGTCTAGAGCATCACACAAGAGCTTCACGCTGATTTCATTCATCATTCCTGCGTGCGGGTTTGGTTCTGCACCAGCCCAGCTCCAGCCGAAAATCAGAGCCCAGGTCTGACTTCTGTAGCAGGTTTTGCACACAGATGTGTGCACGCGTGTGTGAAAGCTTGCTTGTGCATCGCCGTCTCCAGCAGCTCCACGGCGGCTGGGGAGAGGGAAGGTCACCTCTCCAATCCGGAGGTTAACAGGGTCACGCTTCGCTTGTGGAAAAAAACTCTTGCTTAAAATTAAGTCTCAGCCTTGCAGAAAGACAGGCCAGACAAACCATTAAAAAAGGTCAAAGATATTATCAGCTCCTAATCCAATTAGATCCTGATTATCTGTAAATTCAGCACAGCCTCACTGTTAGAGCGATGCTTAGGAAAATGAGCATCTCCAAAAAGCAGCTGGAGATCAAGGGGGCTCCGAGAGCTGAGGCAGCCTCGTGAGCGATTATGCCACTGCCTGGGGAGCGCTGGCTGTAGCAAGAGCCACGTCGGGTTTCCAGAGCTATCTTTCTTCGCACTTGTCACCTGATGGGTGACATTACGTTGCTGGTGAGGGGGGCAGGCGGCTCTGCGGTCACCCCTTCTCATGAATACAAGTTTAAGGACAAAAAGAAACGAGAATTTCTGTATTCGATTAAAATCAGTGATGCAGCAGCCTGACTTGTTGGGAATTCTCCCGCAAAACATTTTTAATGGAAAATATCATTCTGGCAAAACCAACAGTTTCCATGGGGAAATAACAGTTTTACCGTTTACTTGTTGTGTTGTGGGGTTTTTATTTATTTTATTTTATTTTTGGTCAGTCCAGCAAAAAGCACCACATTTTAAGGAGCTCTCCTATCGGTGTCATTCCGGAAAGAAAACCTTTCAGCGGGGTAGAAATCTAACTGGTTTTAATCTGGAACTTGATTGCTTTATTAAGGGGATTACGTGATACGGTCCTGAGATACCAGGGGGATGGATTTGCTCCCCTGGCAGGCGGTCTGACTCGGAGAAAAGAGAGTTTGTGCGCTGAATGCTGGCTGAAAGAGTTATGGAAATGACCCCCCGTGGCTTCATCCCCCTTGTCTCCGGACAAGGAGGTCTTTGATATTTCTTTGTGCTGATAATAGGACTGAGCCGAGGCTGCTTTCTCTCCCTAAATGGAGCACCTTGCACATCTTGCCGTGACAGAGTGATTCTGTGCAGGTGTGAATGCTTCTGGGTGATTCCCGCCATGAAGGCAGGGAGAGCTGCAAAGTACAGGGCACGTGCTGAGTGCCAGCCCCGCTGCCCTGTGCCCTGCCTTGATTTTTCGGTGCTGGCTGCAGCAAAGGGTGGGTTTGCACCCCTCTGCCTTCTGCAGCTCACCCTTCCCAAAGGCAGCATCGTCCTGGCTCCTTATTTACAAAAGGCAACCGATTTAAATCTCTTCCCCCGTGCTTTACAATCCCCCATGCCTGGCTGGGCAGAGCGGGACAGCTTTGCAATAACTCGCTGAGCAGCTCGATGGATTTCCAGTGTTGCCGTTTGGCTGCACTGACACTTCGGCTGTCGCTTCTGCCCTGGGGGAAGCAAAATTCTGCTAAAAGCAAACCCATCCAGCAGCAGGGCACCCCTGGGCTGGGGCAGAGGCTGAAAGGCTGCAGAGCAGGTAGAGGTAGACCATGAGGGTGGCAGGGGATGGAGCTGGGATTCGGGTACCAGTTCCTGACCCCCAGAAGAAACCCTTTTGGCTGTAAGCTGGACCTAGGAAGATAAAACTGTGGCCTCCCCTCCGTGATTTAGCCGTGAGAGCAGCTCTTCAGCCAGGCAGCAGCACTCCGAGTCCGTGCTTTGGGTTTACATCTGCTGAACATCTGGACTCGAGGGTTTAGCCACGTGGCACTGGTCACCAGCATGCACTTGCAAAGGGCATCTATTACACGGCTCCAACCCCACGCGGACACGTGCGGGCAGGATTAAGAGGCCGTAATCACATTCAGCTTGGTGGGCTTTTGAACGAGAAATCAAATGAAGGCTGTGAACAAGGATGTCCCTGAGGGGGCTTAACGCAATTTGGCTAATCCACTTGGCGTGTAAATGGTTTGTTCAACTTCATCATCCCTGCCGGCCTGTAGAGACAAGGCTGGAGGAGTGCACGTGGGCTGCACAGCCCCAGGTTGGGGGTCTTTGGGGGGGCTTTGGGGTCCCCTCCTGCTCCCCAGGAGCTTGGCCCTTCTCGGGGCATCTGAGGCAAAGAGGGAGAAGCGCGATGGGCACGGCTGAGGGTAGGAAGCACTTTCCCCGGTTAAGTGAAAGACAGAGGAGGAGATGTTGGTAAATAGGCTATTAACACCCAGTGTCACTCCATTAATTTCATGGAATAAATCTGTCCTCTCTTCTGCCTCCCGCCTCCCGTGGCCTGAGCTGGAGGCTGTTTGCTGGGCTGCAAAGGAGACCCGACACGAAACCAGTGCTGCTCGGCTGCGGCCCCATCCCAGGAGCTCAGCTGGCACCTCCGATCTGGCAAAGGTGACCTGCAGCACTAAATGTCCTTTCCGTGCTGGGAAAGCAGGAATTTAGGAGTATTTGCTGTCCTCCCTGCCACCCCTAGAAAGACAAGAAGCCTTCCAGAAAGCATCTGTATGGCTGTAACCTCCTCTCCCTCCGCATCTGCATCTCCCCAGCAAGGACAAAGCCCACAGAAGATGGGAGAGCTGTTGGCCCTGTATCCAGGCCCAGCTTTTTGCTGATAACGAGCCAAAACTCAAGGCAGAAAGGCTGCAAATGCTCCCTGGGAGGAGCAATAATGCCAGAGGGAGAGCTGCAGCCAGATCCTGATGGGAAGAGCCTGCCTCGGGCCTGGAGCTGAAGCCCAAGGTGCTGCCGCCTGCTGAAGGAGCAGCTCCATCAGGACACGGGATAAATGTGGGGACTTTCCTCTTTATATGTGGTCTCTTTATATGTGGTTCCTCTTTATATGTGCCCTGGTGTAAGCAAGGCAGCTGCCAAGGCCGTCAGGACCAGGCCTCGCTGTGCCGGGCCCTGCTCAGGCCAGGGGTTGAGATGGGAGAAGAGACAAGTGGGCGTTTGGGCCGCCGGGTAGAGATCTGTTTGATTTTTATTCCTTATTTTTATTTATTTTTAATAGATGTTTCCATGGCAGGAAAGAGTTTTGCCCAGAGACCACAGGGCTGCAGGTAAAGCGGCCTGCCTCAGTGCTATGGGCACTACTAGCACCAGCCTTGCCTCGGGAGGATGGGACAGTTTTGCAGATGGTTTTGGGAGGGAGTTCCCAACCTCTGCCTTGCAAATCGACATCCACAGCACCTTCTGCAGGCTCCCAGCTCAGTGTCTCAGAAGCTGCCACGACAAAGAGCTTTCCCCATCTCTCTACGAGCACAGCCCTGCATGCTTGGTGGCACTGCTGTCCGTGAGGGAGGAAGACTCAAAGATATTCAAAGTGGGCAGTTAATTACATGCATCCTTTCCACTTATTGGGGTTTCCTGAGCTGTAGCCACTTCTCTCCTCAATATTTAGGGGTGTGTGTGTCCTTAGGGCAGCAGGCTGAAGCACAATGAGCCCCAAGCCCAGCCAGCTAGATGGGGAGCTCAGGACACCCACAAAAGCCATCTCCTGCAGCAGCAGCCCCCATCCGAGCCAGTCCAGGCCATCCACTGGTCAAACTGAGGGGTGAACTGGGAGCATGGGGCTGGCTGAGCTGGAGGGGAGAGGCAGCAGGGGATGCTCTGGTTTCAGCCGTGCCCGCTCCCGTGGGAAGCTGGGGAGAAGGTGAGAGGAGCCCCTGCTCTGGCATGTGTCCCAACACATCCCCCTTCCCACCGGCTCACGGGCAGCTGCAAAATCCACCACTTTCCCAGCACTCACCCAGGAGGGAATAACGATAATAAAAACAAAATTAGAACAACTCCCTTCCCCAGACTAGGGGGGGGTGGGAAGGGAATGAGCTCTTGGGAACGGCTTGGATTTCACAGCCTCTCCTGGCAAACGTGACTTTTCAGAGAGAAAGTCGCCGCCACCGGCTTCTCTTTTGTGTCTGCAGAAACAGGGTCCTCTCTCAGCTTTTCCCTTGTCATTGGATCTTGTCAGAGGGGCTGCGGTCCTGCCACGTCCCATGCGAGAGAAGCAGATTTGCCAGCCCTGCTGCAGGCTCCGCATTCCCAGCCTCTCTTGGCTCATTTAAAGAAACTCCCCAATCCCCCGACAATGTAAAGCTTGAAATCTTTTCTTCCTACTTGATGCTTCATTATTGTGATTGCTCTTTATTGATTGACAGAGCTGCTTTTGCAAATGCCCAGGACCCTTGGAGAATTGCAAGCTGCATCCCCAGTCCTGCTCTTGCTCGCGGGCGCTGCTCCCACGGAGCCTGGTGGAGCTGTGTCTGCAGTGGGACAGGGAGAAACACTTCTCCTTCCTCCCCAAAGGGTCAGTGGGGAGATTTGGAGCTGGTTTCCCTGCCAGAGAGCCTAGCACAGAGCTGGTCCCCAAGAGCATTATTAATAAAGGGTTTTGCTCTGTGCACCAAGGGCAGGCTGTGGCTCAAGGATCACTGCACAGAGGCACATCACTACATCAGTGACACCAGCCCTGGCAGGATCTTTGCAAAAAATACAAAATAAAAAATATTATCTCAAAAATGTCCCTGCTTCCTCCAAAGCCCTGCCATGGGGTACATTTTCCTGCTGGCCTCGCATGGCTGCAGCTTTCCAGCCGTGTTCACAGGGGCATCACCACATCAGCCACTTCCCAAGAGCAAACTTTTTCCCACTCTGAACTTCTCGCTACACACGCAAACCTAATTAAGCACAGTGCAATGGTCAGGGCTTGTTAATATTAGGGCTTGGCTGGTTTCATTCTTGGCTGCCAGGAGGCAGGGACTGAGGTGGAGGCAGCGAAACCACACAGCGTAGCAAAACGCTGGCACTTGTCCTGCTCCCTCTCGGTAGGATTTAGGAGGACAAGAGATCCCAGCAGCCAGATCACTCAAGGTGGTCTGCAGGATGGATCTGCCTGCCCTGGGTCTTCAATCACACCCGAGGACGCTTTTCTTCTCCTGACTTACTGAAGACGCATTGCTCAGAAAGCAGGAGACAAAATGCAGCTGTCAGAACACAGCTCACAGCCGTGAGGCATGGGGCAGCGAGCAGGGCTGCTGCTTGTTATCCCTGCCCTGCCTCACCGATGGACACAGGGACGATGCAGAGCCACTGCCAGGCAGCAGGCAGGTCTCAGGGAGCTGGCCGAAACATGATTTTCTTCCTGCCAGCTCCATTGCAAGGGGTGGGATCCGTTCCCGATGGCAGCAGGGAACAGGGGTCGGCCTGTCCTGGCCTTCCCTGCAGGTGACAATGGGGACGAGGAGGTGTGTGCCAGCAGGGAGGAGAGGCAGTGCTCCATGCATGTGCAGGCAGTGCCCCAGCTCCTCACCCCAATCACCAGCTTACAGATCCCCAGCCAACTAATCCGGGGTATTTGCATCGCAGAGCAGATTATCCAGAGCCGAGCCACCTCCTTCCACGGGGTCACTGTGCCTCCAAGGGTCAGCCTGCAACCCCACAGCGCTGGGAAGTGAAGGAACAAACAAAGGCCTTGCTGCAGAAGGCTGCCACATGCTCCTGGAGCAGGCACACGTCCTAGGATAGCCTAAACTGGAGGTGTCACCCTGCCACCCATGCCCACGGGAGGTCCTTCCCAGGAGGAGATGGCTCAGCCCTCCGTCCCCAAACCCTTTTTGCTGTGCACCCCTCTGAGCACCTCCCAGGAGAGGGAAGCACGGGCACAGGGTCCAGGTGAAGGCAATAACCAGCATGAGCCTGCTGATGGGTGCTGTCACCCTGCTTCTCTCCTTGGCCCTGTCGGGGTGCACAGGGGAGCCCCGGGCACAGAGCACACATGCAAGGGGCCACAGCAGCTGCCAGACCTTTGTGCCCGGGCTGCCCACTGGCTTTTCATCCAGGAGCTCTTCCCTGTGGTGAGAGCAGCTTTGAGTTGCGCCCTGCAGCCCTGGCTTCTTGGAAGGGTTATTCCCTTTGTCTCCTTTCCCTTTTTTTTTCCAGATCCGACTTAAAACAGAGATCAGGATGACTCGCAGCGAGCAAAGATCCCATGACTGTTTCCCCAAGAGCCAGGATATTAGTCCTTGTATCCTGGCCATATTCCAGCTCGGGAAATTACCTTCTGCCTCCCTAAATACCCCCTGTGGTTTCAATTGGATACAGGCTTCTTCGCTCTCTTGCTGAAACTGCTGCGCAGGGTTGCTGTGCGCGGTTAAGCAGCTGCTGCAGGAGATGGGTGATGGGGTGCACCTCAGGGTGCTGCACCCAGGGCTGCTCCCAGCCCCGAACCGGGCTCCCCTCACACGTACGCCCCTGAAAACTCTTGTCCCAGGCTCAGACCCCTCTTTGCCCCCTTTGTGCTGAGGATCCAAGTATGAAGCAAGATGGATTTGGGTTTGGTTTACAGGCCAGCCCTCCAGCCCAACCCCAGGCACTTGGCATGGGGCATTCCCCCAGCACCAGGTGAGAGCACAGCCCTGAGTCCTCTCCAGGGATGGGAGAGCAGGAGAGAGCCCTGCTCTGCC